CCCCCCCCCCCCAGGAATAAGGGAAGCTTCAGGAGAAAGCTTCAATGGATGTTTTTAATCAAAAAGCTGTCTAAAGAAAGTTCTGCAGAATTGCGTATATTCAGGTTCATGTGAATGAGCAAATAGCCCTGTGGAATTGAGCTTCATGTAGTTTCTGGCACCCCCTCCCTTCTCTCTGACTGTATAGAACAATGGGGTTTGATCCAGGTTGGTTTTTGGTTGGTTTGTTTTTTTTAACAAGTGAATGCTTCTTTACTCACATAGATAAAGAACAAGCTACAGACCTTCACTTGAAATAAGAAGTTGCAGTCTTTTATGAATGGCTTACGGTTCCTTACCTCTTCCCTGAGATTGGTCAAACATTGATCTCAAAACTGTTATTTTGTGGAAGATTAATGGATGGTCATTTAATGGAGAGATAATTGGTAGTCTTAACATGGCATGATAGCTTAATGCAATTTATTTAGAAGTGTCTTCTGTCCTTTATTTGGAATCCAGATTTTGATGAAAGCTAAATGATCCCTCACTCTCTCTTCAAATGACACTATTTGAAAAGTCATGTTAAAATTACACATGTTAAACTTCTCTCTGTTTAGCATGTTTAGTGCTACATTTCTGTTGTGGTTTTCCTTTTAAGCTGATGACAAACTTCTTGCAGTTATTGTATTTTTCTCTCGGTTAATTGTACAGCTTCATTGTTGCATGGCCTGTGTTTTAGTTTGTATTTCCAGTGATAAATGGCTTATGTAATACAGAGGGATAGAGGTTCCGGACTGTATAACCTACACACGGATACATTTTTATACTCTCTGCTCTCAGGCTTTTTCAAACAAACATGTTTATGGATTTTAACTTATAAACCTGTCAAGACTTACATCTTTTCTGCAACCTAACCAGGCCTAACTGATTCTGTGCTGGGAGAGTAAACAGAAGATACAAAGAAGCAAATTGGTATCTCCTTATGGAGTCTAAGGGGCTGTGTTCTTTGTACTTTCTAGAGAAAAAAGGGTCTAGAGTCACAGAATGATGTAGTATGGTAAAGAAATCCAATGAAGAAGCTTTTAGAACTTGAGGATGTGTATATATATTAAAAAACCAAAACACCCAAGGATTTCTGGGGCTGAATAAACTTGGACTCCAGAAAGTTGTTTTTTTTGGTAAATGCATATAATCCTGGAGCTTACATGCTTTTAAAAATATATATATGTATGTATTGTCCAGATGGGAGAAAAATAGTTACTAGCTTTACAAATATCAAGACATTTTGACATAGTTAGCATTTACACTTACAGATTTTAAATATTTTCTCTGGCTTTCATTCAGATGTGAAATATTATTGGTAAGTGGAGCTCAGAATGAAATGCTGTGTAAGAATAGCTTATTTTTTTTAAAGGCTGGAAACATTTGCAAATAGAAGGTTAAAAAGGTTTGTTTAAACATATGCGTATTTGTTCTGGTGATAGAGTTGATATGGTGAGAACATCAGGTTTCACTGTAGTTGGAATATTATATGTTAATTTAACATTTCTATCCATAGCTAATAAGTTCACTATTTTTTGCTGGTATCTAGTATACAGACTATACTCTGTTCAGATTCTGCTTGAGCAGCAAAAATAGAGCTTGAATGACAGACTTCTTGCTGAAGCAGCAAATTTTAATGATGATGATGGGCTTTCACTGTCAGGGGTTGAAGTGGTGATGTGCGTTTTGCTTTTAGTCTGAGTTGAAAGTATCTTGCCTCCTGGAGGAAGAGCATGGTAGAATATCTAAAGGATACTCACTTGAACTTCATTCTTGCTACTTAAAAGCTTTTTTAGATCTAAGTATAATTAAGTTCACTTGTTTGTGTCTTGTGATGTAAACTGAAGTAGTTTGAACTGTAGTAGTATGAACTGTAGTAACTGAAACTTTGATCAGGCTTATAAATACCACTGTCATTAACACAAATGCAGAAGCTAAAGAGTAATACTTGACAGAAAGATGTGAGAGATCTCTAAAGTAAGGTACTGGAACAGTGCAAACAAAGTATTTATGTTAAATGGAAAGGGAAGGGTGGAAACTGAAAATGCAGCTTCCTATTAATATAAAGCAATAGCACCTAATTTTTATTGAAACTTGCACTACTTGGTGTTTTGGTTTTTGTTCAAACCTCAGATTGAAGACCATTAATAAACAAACTTAAAAAAAAACCCAAGCTAGCTGTTTAATATGACCATAGTGTAGCACAAAAGCAAATAAGCCTAAATGCTAGTTCTGGAGGGCAGCATGATGAAGATGACCCTGAATCAGTACAGATAAGGATTATAATTAATTTCTTAGCTTGTTACCAGTGTGTAAGTCCCCTTTCCTTCTCTCCAGTACAACAGTTAGCCCAAAGAAAGTAAATGTCCAGTGCAGTAAAGGAGGAAGTAACCAGCAATCAGTAGAGAAAATGGATGTGGCCTCAAGAAAGAAAATTGTATTGAAAGAAAATAGAGAATGCTTCAGGGAATTGCACTCTTTTACTTGAGAGAACCCAGATTCAGTGGATTTGACTTTGCTGCCAAGCTGTCGGTGTTGTTTCATAAAAAGGTAGGCATTGGAATCCATTTGGAATGAAGAATGATAGAGTGGTTTTATTTTTTTCAAAATGTAATGTGCTTATAATGATTGGTTTTTGTTCTCTCTAGCACAGTGCTGAGAGCTAGATGACTAGTGTGATGTGCTATACAAAAGCTTTCCAAGTGCTGTGATACATTAAGAAATTCTATTTTACTGTCTTCCCAGTATTCTAGGGTGTATTCCAAAGCATATCTTCTGATTCTTTTTTTAATGCAACAGATTTTACTGGTTTTTCTCACTCATGTTAACTGCAGGGCCACCTCAAGTATGCAAATATTCTCAAACTAGGGAACATGTATTTTTATGCATTAACAGGATTGTTTACTGTGAGCTGAAGTAAACATGATTGTTTACTGTGAATTGAAGATAATGGTATTTCATAGTGTCCTTAAAATGACTTATTTTAACCTTGCTTAGTTGGTGTCATCACCACAAAAGCATCCAATTTCAGTCCGCCCCTATGTTGAGTTTGCAAAAGTAGGGCTCTAAAAAAAAAAAAAAAATAATAAAAAAAAAAAAATAATTACAGATAGTTGTGGGCACTTGTTTCTTATAGTTATTGTTAGTGAATCTTCATAACTATACTACCATGCAGACATGTTAGATATGTTAAATGCATTCTCTTGGAGTAAAGTCAGTGGACATTTGCTATCCTTAGCACTGAACATTACTTTTCCAGCTGAGTTAAATTTAAGCACTATTTTTTTTCCATGTAATCTAGATCTTGACTGACTTTCGCTAACCTCCGTAACTGACCAGACATTTTTAATTAGCAAGTACTTATGCAGGTTTAATCATTTAAAAGGGATTTAACAGCAATACAAGGCCTTTGGTGATATCATTAAAAGTCAACATATTTTTTGATACCGTAAGAGGTATATGAAACTGATTTATTTTTTAACAGAAAGAATCACTTTCTTTCCTGCAGGCTGAAGAATATTGTTGGATACAGTCATCTAAACACAAAGAATGTAATTTAAAATACTTTTGGCTCTACCAATTCATCTCAGTGGAATTACACACATTTTGGGATTCCTGGAAGTTTTTTTGCATAAACTTAAATTTTTGAAATGTATTGATGTTCCTTTCTTTCTTATACGTTAAATGTGTCTAATGATATGCTTACTGCTTAGAATCAGTTGACTGCTTTGTTCCCTCTGATCAAAGTAGAAAGGAATGAAGCAGTTAGTTATTAATTTTCCCTTATATATAAATATGTATTTCTTCTATAAATAATCTTTACCTAAGTTCCAAGGCAATGAATTATGTGACTTTAAAATACCTTAAATTTTTATATCTATGTATGTGCAGTAACATTTCATTCAGGAGCATTGAGAAACTCAATTATCAACTAATAATTAAACCTGATGTGGATTTTAATTCTCATCCTATCACCTGAGTAACTTGCTCAGCTAGGCTTAACACACATTGATGGGGTGAAACTATGCCACACAAATTACTGCTTCATAGAAGGTTTGAGATGTAAGCAAAACTGAGTGAAATATTTTCCTTTT